CGTTTCGTTCTTGTCTCTCACGTTTCCTTCTTCCTTGTCTAAGGTGATCTGATTTGCAATGGTAAATGATCCCTAAATGTTGAATTTACTCATTCTTGTCACCAATTGCTTAAAACAGGTAGAGTGCCAGACACTCTATGTTCCTCAAGTTGATTTTGCTTTTGAAATTAATCGTTTCTTTTTGGAAAGGGAACACTTTTGAAAATTTGCAACAGTTTTATTCCTCAGCACTCTGGTTGTGAACGTGTCAATTTGTATATTTAATTAAACCTGGATCCAAACCTGGGATGGTCACAAATGAAGCTTAACCCAAGACAAAAACGTTGTTTTTCATTAACTTTACGAAGGAAAGTTTTTCTTACACGAACGCTGTGATATCATGCCTAACTGATGCAAGATCGTGGATGGCAAAATGTTTGCTTACTTTGTATTAGACGGTGAAACGAGACAATTTGAAATGGGAAATGAAAAAGGTTGTATGAAAAATTCATGACATTTTGCATTGTTTTCCTCGACTGAAGGTGATTTTAATAAACTAAGCAAAAGGCTTTAGAGGAAATTTAATTACAGGTCAAGTTTATATGTAAAATTATCATGAACGTCGAGTTATTTCTGTAAAGGTTTATTAAACTCTTTATGGAAATGATTTCTTATAACAGTTTGAAAGTACCTCGAGGGGAAAAGCTCAGGTAACTAATATAAATGTCAATTCTTTTATTTGTGTCTTTTTTCGGAAAAGTAGCATTCAAAACTCGTATATGATTTATTTTTAATAAAAGTTGTCTCTCCCGTTTTTTAATGAAGCGAACGTCTATAAACTCGAGGACTGTTATCACCCCCAAACACAATACCAGAATACTTTTATTGCTTTTTTTGTGGAGATAAGACAAAGAATATTCGGAAATAAAGTCAGGAAATGCCCGACTGAGCGACGCCAGTCTAGGACACAGACGAACACAATCTCACCATTGTCACTGTTGCAAACGATCAAAGAGAGAGAAACACACATTCTTTTAATATATCAAAATCATAAGTCAGCAATTCAAGAGATTTTAATAAAACGTCTGTTAATAAATAGCGTGTGTGAAACAAATCAAATTTTATCTTTCTGTCTTGGCGTACATACTTAAAATAAACATCCTTTTTAATTTCTTGAATTCAATGTATTGCGTGGCTACAGATAAAGATACAGCGTAAATATAACAGTGATTTTTTTGTTTGAGAACCAATATCAAGAATCTGTCTCGAGTTTAGGAAACTTAAATATTTCAGTTGAATCAAATGGCATGTAATGTTATCGCAAATATTGATACTAAAAAGTTTTGAAAAACTCCTTAAAGCTTGGGACATTTTATTTTGTTCTGACGGACTTGCATGCCATACAAAACACCAATTTATTCGACATTTTAGCATGGTGGTGTGATCTGAGCATAAACCGAGTATGAAGGCGAGACTAGCCTAATTAAAAATTTGACATTCTTCCAAAAATATCTCTGTGAGAAAGGATACTGTTTCTGTTTCTTAAAACTTGCATGTGCACAAATCTGAATGGCCTTTGCAATAAATCAACACAAAATTAAGTCAATGCCAGTTTAACTTCGTTATATAAGGGGAAACTTGTTTTGCTGTCAAATGTTTAATTTACAAACCACATTGCTAGTAGTCAAAGCGGGCAACACGCTTCAAAAATACGAGCTCACTAAATTAAGTTTGCTTGAGAGGTATTCGGCTCTTTTGAAGTTACAAGGCGCGGGAAAAACATGATACCGTGTTTGAACGTGTAATAACATTTTTCAGAAAGCGTTACGAAAACAAAGGGATTAGAGTCACAAACCTGCGAAGCCAGTAATAACATTAATTAATTTTCATTCTTTTTTAACATAAAGAATGCTTGCGTTGTGGTAAATGTTTAAATTCTGAGAGCATTAAAGGCAGACTAGAGCGTACGACGGGCTATTGTCGCCAAATTTACAGCATTGTAATGAACACAATTGTAGATTCAGATGTACTTAGATCGTAGACAGACGGGCGGCTTCTAAAACGGATTTTATCATGTAGAGCTAGAAATGTTTAATTGAATCATGAAAGATTTAGCAGGTCTAAATGAAAGGGGAAAGTGTAGCAACACTAGGCAAGCAAAAATCCCAATTATAGGTTAAATGAACTTACTTATTTCTTTTGTTTGCTTTGTTCACTACCTATACACAAAATGAAACTGTGGTTGGCGTCATTTAATTCCAAGAAAATTTTGGACAAACAAAAAAGGAGGGAAGTTTTAATACCTAGTATAGCTTCTTTTCGCGGCAAAAGAAATGTTTTTTAAGTCAGAAATGTTTTGCAAGACTGATCAATCCTGCTTCAAAAACTCGGTCAAATGAGTGGAAAAATGGGGGTTATTTTCTTTGCATACAAGCATGGATATAAACAGCATCATCAAAACAGAACGTTTTGGACTTAAGCTTCGATTGAAGCACTCTAAAATCCCGCGCGTGAATAGCACTCAAACCTACGTCCTTGCATGTCATAAATAAAGTTCCAGATTGTTACAAGCTCTCCTGTAGAAACGGAGAATTGCGTGCTTCTAATGGAAAGACTGATACTTTTTGTAAGGAATTGATGATACCTACAGCGGGGTAAATGACTCGATGACAGTTTTCCCCCACGCATCACCTACATTTTTAGAAAACTTGTTAATAGTGCGCACTAGGAACGGAAGTAAGCTTGAAATTAGCGAGAAGCGCAATATAACAAAAAGAAAATTTATTAGAAGAAACAAGGAAAGCTAAAGAGGGAAAAATTCAGTTAATCAGCACAATCTAACTCCTTAACGAGAAGAGTCAGTTACCTGGAGTGAAAAAATATGCGATGGCAACTGATTTACGCGAATTTGTATTTGTAGCTATGGATCTCAAAGGCTGGATGTTATATTACTTTTGAGCTTCGAAAGCGTACTGAATCAATATTGAATTCCGCAAACGTGACTTTCTGCCAAAATGTGAAGGACAAATTAAATTGGGCACGTTCACTAAGCGGAACCCAGGAAGAAAATACACTATCCTAGTTTGGTATTTTTCAGTTTCAATCAATGTAATTTCCTGAATACTTCATAACAAATATCATTTCAAATAATGTCAGGATACTGAGGGATGGGTTTATTAAAAACAGCCATTATCAGTCTTACTGAAGTCATTGTTATTCCGTGTAAAGAAACTAAAAAGTATGCCTGGAGCTATTAATCGTGGCACGAGCGTTATGCTTTTTTAATTTTCCATTTACAGAGACTTTTGTTGACATGTATGCTTCTACGGAATCGATTCGGAAATGTTACTAGCTTTGTGATCATAAAACAGCGCAAAAAAAATCCTTCCTCGAAAGTATTCTGTTTTCTACTAGAAAATGGTCGTCTTTGACAATAGGCGGATTAAATCAGCTGGAAAGTAAGTAATGCTAAAAATGGTGCATTAAAAATTCATTAGCCGTAAGCTGTACAGTACATTAACCATACTCTCTTGTTACAAACCACAAATTGGTCGACCTAAAGCAAAAAGATTCACAAGACTCCCTGGATAAAGCAGTGTCTTAGCCATGTGCTGCGATTGAAGTAATATTCAAACTCGCCATCTGTTTTCCAGAAAACAACTAAGGCAAGAAAATTATGTAATTTCCTCGCCGCACAGTTTTTTTCTTAAATTCCTGTTTCAAATAAGTAGCGTAAGCATTGTAATCTCTTTTCTTTCAAGAAAAAAAAATCAGACTGACATAAACCTCCGCTCCATGAATTAACGGGGTTTTCAGGGGTGTAGGAACGAGAGGTTACAAAACCCAGAATGTAAAGAATTTATCCATCAGAAATCAGAGAAATATATATACTAAGGCGTTTGGTTTTTTTTTTACTGGACCAAACCATCAAGCTTTCCCAGTTCTTTTCAAAACTCGTCATCCCGCTGTATGGCGTATCATTTAAAGCCCATGGAGCAGAAAGCAAAACTACCAAAGTGCGAAATTTAACTAACGCGGGTGGATCTCTGACAACAAGGCAGAGATAAATGGAGGGAAATAAACCAATATCTATCTGCATCGTTTCTAAATGACAACCGGACAACGGAGCTTAGAATTTGGGCGGAAAAAGGAAGGGCAGCTTTCATTTGCATGAAGTAGATTAAAACCAAACTCGTAACGAGTATCTCGCCGCATCTTGATGGAGAAATAAATGAACCAAAATTCATTCGGCGTTCCGTTTAATTTGAAAGTCGTTTTCGACGAAGAAGATGAAGATATGAGCGGGTTGCGCACTTTTGAAAAGGGATCTCAATCATCAGTAATGATCCAAAAAGCATGTTCTTTGATGTGTAAGCGTCAAACGTAGTGAAGACAGTAAAAAGAGTTTCCAAATAATCGTAGGTCTGAAGAATCGGTTACGGGGTATCTAAGAGACTTTCTAAATTGTTGGATTAAAAAGTCGCCTTTATCTTCTAGAAAGAAGTAAAAATCTGGAGTAAAAATGTAGCCGAACTGTAGCAATTAGGGCACAATAAATTCCCCTTTCCAGAGGAGGGTTGATGTTTTAAAGGCTTGAAGTTTGGCTAAGATAAACCACTCTACCACTGAAATCGGTGACTTTCCGATTAATAAAGTTTGAGTAACTTGCAAAGTCAGGTAACCTCCTTGGTTCTCTTTCGCGACCAGCAACTACTGTTAGTTCAAACACCTTAATTCGTCGTACTTTGCTTAAGTAGAGCTAGAAATTTGGCAAATTCTTAATCAGTGCTTCGCACATCGCTCACTCAAGCTTTGTCAACAATGAGGTTGGCCGCAAACCCAGGTAAAAGTTTGTGACGTGGCCGAAATTGTTCGAGTTTGATGATCAAAGAGTTTACGAAGAAGAGTTACTCTGCAAAGCAGAGGGTCTTGATATTTCGATATCTCGACAAAACAAGCAACTGAACATGATACAAAAAAACTTCAAACCAAGCATGTACACAAATAAAACCATAATGTACCTTTAGTGTTGATGGTCTCCATGTCCAATGCAAACTGGCCCTTCATGTAACACGTCAAAATTTTAAATCAATGAAGTTAAAGCAGAAGCCTGGGGTTTTTACTGAACCAAAGACCGCCCGCTGTGCCAGCTAACTAGGAGAGAAAAGAAGATGTTATTAAATTCCAAACAACACAATATTACAAAGCCAACGTTTCGAGCGAACAGGCCTCACCAAAGCCAGTTTAAAATCTACGTGCTTATCTTTAAGCGCAGTTTGTATGAAGGCTATTGAAAGGGAGGGACTTCGAATAAATGTCGAGAAAACTTAGAAATGTTTGCCTTTAAACTTGATTATTTTGAATCGTAATTTCCCTTTGATGTACCTAGTACGGTGTGTTGTTTTGTATACAACAGAAGAACAGCCAAATATATCTCGAAAACAAATGAAAAGCACAATACAGGTAAACTGGATAAGAACTCACACACTTTGCAAGACGATTGCAGAGAAACAACCCTATTAGTATTCCGCAGAAAATTAAGCCCAGAAAGACTGATTTCCCAGTTATACATTAGCAAGTTATTGTCATGAAACAATTTAATGTGAACGTCACAAATGTGATTTGAGTTTTTTTCTTGTTTTATCAATATCTGCCTTTAGGCATGCAGATGTTGGGTCAGAACATAAAAACATCTGTCAAACTTGCATAAAGGATTTAAAATCGCTCACTCGACAGGTTGGCTGAAGATAACTGCACTACTAAGTCACAGAAACATCTCAGTCACAGTTGTCGGTTAAAAACGATTGAAACATTACATTTAGAAGTGGGTTATGGGTCGAGAGTGAAAAAGGAAGTTTAATTTCTCCGTGACTCACCCTAACCTACCAAAGTGACAACGTTTGATTTCAAAAGAGCGTTCTACCCAAATCGAAATGTGGTCGAGGCGTGTTTTTTGAAACAAGAAGCTTTCTCCGAGTGAAAAGCAACGATGACACAATGCAATTTGACTAACAGAGAAATTAAATATCGCTTTGTTGTTAGACTCTACAAATACAACAAAATCACAAATACATCGAACAAAATGAAGTAAATTACAAATTAACACGAGGGCGACAAATGGAACCGAAATTAATGGCGCGATAGAGATTTACAAAATCCTTGCAAGAAAGAAAGCTGTTTTTCTCCACGCGTTCGCTATTGGTTCCCACCTAAATCTTGACTTGGACGAGGTACGCCGCAATTCACGAATTCATTACACTAAGTTGATAATGGACGTGTATATATTTTTGGATAATCTTCTCTCGAATTTGCTTAATAATAGCTTTTATCCCTTAATCTATTTGCATTTGATGAAGTCGCTTTTTCCCTAGTCGATATTTTTACTTATTTCGTGTCGTGGGATTGGAGGATTTGCGAGCGACGAAGAGCCGTAACTGCTAAGAAAACCTTTAAAAAGCTGAGAAGGTTTGAAGTTACAAAAAGTGAAAATTGATTTTAAATGTTCGATGTTGAAATGTTTCTGCCTTACTGTGCTGTTTCCCTTGACCAATATACCTTTCATATAAATATTGCTTGCTACTGGCAAGAAATCGAACGACAAACAAAGAACTCGCTTTGATTTTTTGAAAGGATTAATTACCACCCAAGCCACGTACAAAGATGAAAAACCGATTTCTACAAATCTCCAACTTGCGTTAATCCAATGCGAAATGGCAGCGCCCGTTTTTAACTTCGCACACAATAGAAAAGTAAACGCTTAAATTAAAAAGGCTGGAAACATGGAAAATTATCTTTGAAAATAAAAGCGAACTCTGACTATGCATGTTCCTTTTATGGCCAAATCCGAACTACATGTTCCACACCTCATAATATCTTGTTTGTGTTATATTCAATCTATAAACATGACGGTCATTCACCAAACACATGCAAATTAGCGAGAGGGTGTTTTTGACACAAAAGATGTCACACCGCTAAGGCCGATTTAAACACAATTCACAGTTATCCCGAGAAGGTAAACACAAAAATAATATCTTCCAACCCCTAAGTGCGACTTCAGTGTTAAAGAATACTCACTGTTTGGTCTCTCTTTCAATTGATGGCTTGGCACACAAATTTAGGGGATCTCTCCTCGAGCCGTATTGTGATTAGACTTGAGCCTCAAGGACGTATTCGGCCAAACATCACTGAACACTCATTAACACGAAAGTTGAATATCTATTTTGCCAGAGTTACCCGCGGAATTTTGAAGTCGGAAGATTAGAACACCACCGAAAAATTTCACGCTATGAGGAAAAAGTAAACTGTCCGGACCATTCACTGAAAACCGCGTGAATAACAACCGAAGGTTTTTTGTTTCAAAGTCGGTCTATGCAAAGAAAGACATTATATTCGTTCAGATCGGACTTCGCCACCAGTTGTTTTGCTCCGCCTACAAGAAGCGATTCCTTGCTCTTATATACATTAAAGAATAAAAAAGATGATAGGGAACTACTGTGACTATTCTGTCTGAAATACCACCTGTTATTGCTCGCGAAAGAAAGAGCTCACATTTCACCTTGGTTGAATCATAACGCGCGCACACGCCAAATAGACCGGCTCTTTTAATCTGTTTGCTATATATTGGCTTGTGCCGATGATATTTCTCACAGGAGAAATCACTGGAAAATACGATTGTGCTTGTATCTAAGGACATCAGAATCGTTATGATCCCCTGAGGGCGACCGAAAAGTCTCTATGGCATCAATATTAGGTCTATTCCAGAAACGGAAAGAAGCAACCGGTTTTTGCCATGTGATGACAATGTTTTATTACCGGTAAATAGCGTTCCTCGTGTTTTACACTTTGTGATCTTAACTTAAAGAAAGTAAAAAAACATTCGCTTGGAATTGGACCGCCGCCTTCACCACGCCGCAGAAACCCAGACACTCACGCTACTCTCACGCCGATGTTTACCCCAGAATTTAATAAATAAACACCGCATGTGGTAGAGGACTTCAACTGTGCAAGCGATTAGAAGGAATGTTTAACCTAGCGAAGTAAAATGAGTTTCACTTAATTGTTATCAATGCGGAGCGGAAAAAACCGACCGAAAGAAAATCCATCGCGTTGAACAAAAATCATATTTCGTTAACGAAGAGGTTGCCAGTCCTCAAGAAACTTTTGCTATTCAATAGGCAAACGGTAAATTATAAATATATGTGTAGTCCTGTTACAACAAAAGGAAAAAAGTTAGTTGAATGGAAAATAGAATTCGCTCAAGTTAAATGCATTCAAGTCGTTAACTTTACTTAGCTTTCAAAATTTACGACCCACTTAGGAGCTCAATAACCTTGAAATGTAATTTTTTCACCTTTAAAGGAGTGATCGAGCGACCGCCAAAGGATGAATAATTCATAGTCTGAAAGCAAACGGGAAGGAAAACGCTCTCTCTTTCTCTATCTTAACACGACAAAAATTACTCCGCTTTCCAGAACAGTTGGCTTTGAGCCTCTGAGAAGATAACATATATCATTAAATTTGATGAGAGCGAACGAGAGTAAGCTTGATGCAAAACCTGGTAATAGATCTGTTTACAGGCTTAAAATGTTGCGAAAATCTAAAGGACATCTGCCAACTGTAGCAGAAACTTGGATGATGTTGTTTCAAGCGCTGAAACGCGATAGTTGGTAAAAAGTAATTTTGAGTTCCGTCGTTTCGCATTTCCCGCGCTTATTATATCGAAATTGTAGGGAAGATTCTACGCTTTAAGAAAGACGAACTTGGTTTAGCGCAAGGAAAATCTAAAAGAAATGGTGCGGACTGCATAAAATACGGTGTATTTATCAGCTGTGAAAAGGAGAAGGAAAAAAAACGCTGATGTAGTAAATTGAGGGAAAGAAAGAACCATTGTGCGGAAGTTTTAACGAGAATTATATTATAAGTTGAATTAAGGAAAAAGAGTGAAGGTGACAGTATTTTGAATGGCGCTACGATTCTACTGGCAAGCGATTTTGTTTTGGTTTGATGCTCATCAATAAGATCTTATCAAAAAAAAAAGTCGCACATTTCTATCGGACTGCATCAATGACGTGTGGTAATTGTGGCAAAACGCGCCCAACTGAGTGAGTCTAAACTCGCAGGGCTAATGCAAGTGAACCTCTGTAAAACCATTACGAAGCAATTTCTTGAAGCCTTGAGACATTCTCGTGAGAGAAAAAATGTAAAGTTTACAACTTCAACAGAACGGTAAATTTTTCGTAGCTTTTCACTTGATTCTTTCCTTCCGATACTACGGAATTGCAGTTGTAAGATATATAATTTATATTTTGGAATATTATTATTCGTAAGTAATAATCTATATTGTTCAAACTCTTAGGGTGCTGTACACATGAGATCTATTTATACACGCGCTAGATCAAAATAAAAGAGGTAAACAAACAAATTCCTTTTCTGATAATGGAAGGTTGAATAAGTCTTAAATTGAAATTGAAAAGCTGATCAAATTTGAATGTCAGAAAGAGATGAAATGTTTGACAGTGAACTTTAGATTGTATTTGTGATCAACGTCAAACAAATCATTTGCCTTCCCAACACTTAACTAAGAACTTGCGAGTCATGTCTTTTCAATGACAATAAAACCTGACTCAGTTTTAGGAGGACAAGGTGAAAATTTTGAAATGATAAGTATATATCAGTTAGCGAGAAAAAACTGGGATATTTTCCGCGAGTTTCGCTTTGTTCTTAGCTGTGCGGTTTTTCATTCACGCACACAAAGTTAGAAGAGCGAATTTACAATGAAAACTGTCAACTTTAGGACGAGTTGTCACAGATAATTTTACAGCTGGTTGATCAAAATTGGCTAACAGTGAGATAGGACATAACGAACAAACAACACGGCCACCCGACGACTCTCAGTAGAAGATTAGGACCACCAGAAGATAAATATCCTCTTCATTAAGAAAAAAAAAATATTGTGATCCTCAAAAGTTCACTCCAAAGAGGAGAGAAATGGCGAAGACACAGCAAGTTTCTCCAAATGGAATAATAAATGATATCCTATTTCGATGATTATCAGTATGTGCGAGGTTTGACGTTGTTTTTAGATCAATTTTTAAATTTTCAGTCTGAAAACGCAAAGGATTATTATGATTATTTTTTTTGTATCCGTCACAAAAGAGTAAACGTGAAAAGACTCTCAAGCTAAATTCTACCACAATCGTCAGAAGCCTCAAAGGAGCGAGTCCTTTCCTTTGACTTTCGAAAGTTCATTGAGAATTGAGAATTTTTAAAGAAAAGGAATTGTAAAGAAGTTACTTGTCAACGTGCATGGTAGTAAAAGCAGGTATTTTAAAGCACGTTTCAATTCTTTCACAATACTTCAAACTACCGTTATAAGTTGAGAGAGAATTTTGAAATTTCGTCTATGGAGTACTTAGGAGGTTGCCGGTGTGTACCCGGATCGTAAGCCTTTATCACTTTAGCAAGAATCTATCTGGTAAATCACAAGAAAAAAAAGGCTTATAAAACTAAAGAAATATTACGACAACAACTTGCACAGAATGACAAAGAATTCTGGCCATACAGCTCAAGCCCAAATGAAAAAGCTTCTTCAAGCCATCGCACACTGAGGTGAACACATTAAAATAACACGAGAGAGAAATTTACCTTTCAGTGGAGTCTCTGTGCACTTTCAATTTTTTTGAAATGTTGTGAGGTTCAGGCAGATTCAACCTGTGGAGTGAGCGAAATAACAAGAACAATTACCACGAAGCATTCAAATCATGCTATGTAAACTGCATGTTTAATCAATCAAAAATGGACCTTGTAAGAAAAAATGGACCGTTTCTCTGCATTCGGGTCTGCCTTGTTCCATAACAATTTCAAGGCGTTGGAAGTAAATTGAAGTACCTTTTTTAACTAGTAAACGGTAGGTAATTCAGTTTCAAGACGAACTTTCTTTTCAAGCAAAGCAACGTAAATGACTCTGAAAGGTAGTATAGATGCTGTTTTAATTCCAGTTTCTAGAATTCTAACTTTGGTCAAAAGCCCATGAAGCAACTGGGGTAAACACTTATTCCAAGCGCATGTAAAACTGGGAAATGAGGTGGGTTTTGCCATGTTGAACCGTTAAAATATTAGTATGCTAACTAAGGCAGCTACAGCAACGACATATGACAAAAAAATAATGGAAATCAAAAGAAAATCAAGAATGTTTTCAGTTCCGACAGAGATTGGAAAGCGGTTGAGTGCGTCGAACACTGAAGTATATCTGAGTAAGAGAGACACGTCAAAGAAAAATTATTGTATAATACCGGAGCACTTTCCATTCCAACCCAACGATACCCTACATTGCGTCATTACGTGATACCTCGTTCAAGAAAGTAGCAGTTGAATTAAACCCCGACGGGTTGAAAGAGGACTATCCAATTATCTTTAATAAATCATTCACTTCTCAGAACTTCGAAGTTTCGAGTCATCTTTGAGTATCACTTTAAAAATGTTCTTAGACCGCTTACTTAGAAAATAACTACGAGTCTGCTCTCTGCAGGCTTTATCAATCCACCGCCTCTTCAACCGAGGCCTCATTCTGGCAGCATTTCTAGAAAAATTCCAACTTTTGTATGATGATGAAAGAGAAGACTTTTTATGTGTCGAGGGGCAATAAGATAATATTGTACTTAGTTGGAAAAACTGACACTAACCTAGTTTTTCTGGCGTTGGAAGCAAGAGAGAGTTTCGCGCAAAGAAAACTGGAGCGTAACCGCACTAACTTTTAAAATTACACACACAATTTGCACTTATAGCGACTGAAAACCTTATCTTGTGGGAATCCTCACTGAAATCTTAGCAAAACTAAACGTATGCTAACCAAAACTTATTCGATGTAGTTTAAATTGAGGGCTGCAGGGAAAATTTATAAAAATATGTATTTTTAGTACTGATACGTCTAGACCGTGTTATATGACCCTGGATAAATAGAAAACCTTTTCAATTTTAATGTTGGACGATAAATGCTTGAAAAAAAAATAATGATAATGAAACTGACATTTGACTGTATCCAATTTGTAAAACGATAAATTGAAAGAAGATCAAAACTTGTTTACGTCTAAAAATGAAAAGACTTAACTAGGTTACGAACTTAAGTTCTACATTAGTTGTTATCCGTGCACGAAAAGCGGTTTGAGTATGTAGGAATAAGGAATTTTTAAAAGCAAAATAAGTTGGAGATTTTCAGACTGGAAAATAACAGTTTCAAAAAAGTTTTTTCGACATTTCTCACCTTCAATAGGGGATTCCAAAGAAGAAATTTAATTTGCTTTAATTTACGTGCAAAAGGTCTTGCTAGAAGCAGGTGCTAAATAAAGGTCTGCCAAGTTTTGACAGTTGCGCTGTTGGAACAGGTCATGTA